ATGTATGGCGGGATTCATCAATGGCAAAAAACTTGCTCCTAAGGATGTTGATTCTGTGGAATTCTCCGAATGGGAGGAGGATAATTGTTTGGTGCAAATATGGCTTCTCAACTCTATAACTCGGAATGCGAGAAGTCTCTTTGAGCGTTGTACTTCAACGTATGATGTGTGGGAACCTGCAAGAAAAACTTTTACAGTCACCCAAAATAGTTCTTGTTTGTTTCAACTTCGAAGACAATCGGTGACTGCAACCCAAAATGGTGAATCTATTGCTGTGTTTTATGAGAAACTTTATTTGGGAGGAGATTGACAATCTTCACCCTAATCCACATACCAATCCTAAGGATGTGGCTATTCGGCAAAGGAAATTGAATCTGAAAGAGTTTATGATTTTCTTGGAGGGCTTGATCCTCAATTTGATGGTGTTCGTAGCTGTATCTTGGCTGTGACTTTGGTGCCTTCTGTCTTGGAGGAGTATGTTTTGGTCGTGGAAGAAAGCACTTGTCAAGTATTTATGTTCGAGGGTGTTGCTACTTTAAAGATTGTTACAGCTTAACATCGACCAAGTGGCTCCTCCTCGACTAACGGTCGTTAGTCATCTTTTGTGAGTTCACATTCCAAAGGGTCTTCAAACTCCAAATATGTTGTTTCTTGCTTTCCTGTAGTGAAGGTTCCTTCTGGTTCTCATGAGTGTGCTCATTATGGAGGTGACCACCTGTTAGAGAAGTGTTTTCAGCTCCATGGTGTTCCAAACTGGTTTCCTCAGTACAAAGCTCGTAAGTACAGACCTAAGGCTGCTTATACTGTGGCTTTGGGCAAGAGTGAACCGTCTTCTCCTTCCATGAGTTTGAGTGCGACAAATTCTGTACCAGGTAATGGTTCCAATACATGGATAATTGACATTGGTGCTACTGATCATGTGACTTATAATTCTACGGTTTTTGATGATTTGTCTAGTCAAACAAGTGACCTATTTATCACATCTGCTAGTGGTATGGCTTCTCCAATTACTGGAGAAGGCACAATCACACTTACTCCTACCTTGTCCTTGGCACATGCATTATTGGTACCCAATATTAATTGTAATTTATTATCTGTGGGACGATTACTTGACTCACTCAAGATCACAAAACTCAAGAGACGATTGGACGTGGTAAATGGATAGGGGGGGTTATACTACTTGACTCTATCAACAAAAGCAGTTTATGGTTGTATTGCTAATAAAGTTCAGAGTGGCAGTGACAAAGACAAGCATTAGCTGTGGCTATGGCAACATCGCTTGGGACACCTTTCTTTTGGATATCTTAGACATTTATTTCCTTCACTATGTCGTTCATATGATGAGACTTTTTTTAAGTGTGAAACATGTGTTTTGGCCAAAAGTCATCGTACTATTTTTCCTTTAAGTGATAATACAGCTATTTAGTCATTTGATTTGGTACATTCCGATGTATGGGGTCCTACTAAGATTACTTCAAATGGGTTTCGTTGGTTTATCACATTTATTGATGATTGCACACGTTTAACTTGGGTTTTCCTGATGAAAAATAAAACTGATGTGACATCTATTGTACACGAATTTATTGCAATGGTATCTACTCAGTTTCAGACGAAAGTCAAAGTGCTCCGGTTTGATAACGGAGGAGAATATGTGAATACTACCTTGAGTTGTTTCTTTCGTGAACAAGATATTATTCATCAGACGACTACTCTATTTACACCCTAACAAAATGGTTTGTCTGAACGAAAGAATCGTCATTTACTTGAAGTTGCTCCTGCGTTGCTCTTGGGAATGTCAGTTCCTAATTACCTTTGGGGACATGCAGTTTTAGCCACTTGGTATTTGATCAACCAGACTCCTAGTTGAGTCATTGATTTTCACACTCCTTTCGAATTTTTACAAGAACATGTTGGAAATGTGCCTTAAAACCAATCATATGATGATACTTTACGGACATTTCACAAAGTTAAACTAATGTAGTTTAAATGTAAAGGGCAAAGATTATTGTTTGAGCCGTCTCATATAAATGTTATATGCTTAAACGATAAGTCCAAGGAATATGTGATTGGAAGAATGCGATCTAAAGAAGTTAGATTCATGAGACCATTCTTTCGTTGACACATCCTAAACGTTCCTGATCATAGGATTGTCAATTGGGCATTGACAGTCCGTTAAGATCAGTACGTGCTATGTCTTCTCTCAGGGAGAGTGACTAGTCTCGAGTCATTGGTGTGTGTGACATCAAGACAAGTACGTAGGTGCTCAATAGAGAATGAGTTCACTGAACACGATCAACGAAGAGTTCTCATATTCATGTCACATGAGAACTCATGGTTGGGATAATGCAAATTAGTCTTTTGATCTGAGGCATCATAGTTGTCTTGTGGTTAGGTCCTTAATCTTTGATTATGTCAAAGTCACTCCATCAGGAGGGTGTCCACGACATCGTTGGGGTTAAGCCACTTAGCCATGGAGGCAAGTGAATGCGCAACAAGGGATCTCTAACCTTCAAACTGTTTGAGGGAGAATACTCTATGATATGATTAAGAATCTTTGGCCAAAGTATGAATGAGATTTAGGAATGTGTTCCAAATCACATTCAAGGTAATCATATAAGCACAAGACTCACATTGGATAGTAGACATGAATAAACTATCAAACCAAACAATGTGGTCAAGAGTATTGTATTAGACAAAGACCGTATTGCATTTGTAATCCTAAAACTGAATAGGTTCTCCACCTCTTCTGATTAGCTTGGGTAACCATGACATGCTGCTAGGCGTCAACCATGGTTTGTGGAAGCCCTAAAAGTGTATTATCACTAACGGGAGAATTGAAAGTAAGTTTCAATTCACAATCGATTTGAAAGAGTTTGAATCGCCCACTGCCTCGCTAAAAGGAACCTAATGGATCGTACACCGTGTAAGGTAGAGATTGAAGATTCAACGGAGATGAGTAAGAATAATTAAATGGTTTAATTATTTATGGCAAGGATTAATTAATATGTTAATTAATCAAACGAATAAGTTCGTTAAAGACCTCGGGATAGTTTTGGACCTTAAAGCCCAATGGGCTTCGAACGTCAAGTCCATTGACTTAAGTTGTATGACAACTTAATGAATAATGATTCACAAAGGCACAAATAGCCCAATAAATCCCCTTAGGCCTGCCATTTAGAGGAGGGTATTGAACTTGGCTTAATTACAAGTTTGCCACTCCATTGTGAGGTGGTATAAAGACATCTTTATAGCCATTTCATCCTAAGGGTTTTCTTAGGAGTAAAGATGAGAACACAAACCTCCCTTTGCTCTCAAAGAGGCCGGCCAATCTAGAGGGGAAAAGCTAGCAATCTTACTTCCTCTAGGTCACTCATTTCTTCTTCAATATGCCTTGGTGTGGAGACTTAGAGGTTCTCAATTTTGGGAACTTGGAGAAACCTTTTCATCCATCCAAATCCATGGATCTAAGATGCAAGGAATGAAGGCCCTCTCTTTGGGTGATTAGCCTTTGCTTATGCAAAGAGGAATCTACAAAGGTATTGATTTCTCAACTCACTTTGTTTTGAGTTGAGTCTTGGTTCACCTATCTACTAGGCTTTGAAGTTCATGGGTTAAGTTTTGTTTTTGAGTGCATATAAACATGATTCCGCCTTTTAATTGTTAATTGCATGTTGTTGATGTTGCTCAAATGAACTTGTTTTTCACAAATCTTCCTTCAGAACATGTCTCACCTATTGCTATCTCCAAACTTCCTCCCAAGGTGTTTGGATGTGTTGTGTATGTACATACTTATTCCCATCAACGGAGTAAGCTAGATGCATGTGCTCTTCGATGTGTGTTCACTGGGTATTCAAATACTCAAAAAGGTTACAAGTGTTATCATCCTCTTACTCAAAAGACTTATGTTTCCATGGATGTCACCTTCCATGAAGAGGTCCCGTATTTTGCCTCCTCTTTTCCTATCTCTCCACTTCTATAGGAGAGGGTTTGTGAAGTGTTAAGTCAAGGAGACAAAGAAAGTACAAAAAATAGTGATATTGTGGTCTGCTTGAGCCGACTCGTCGCCCTTCTTCCACTGAGTAGTCGCCATGTACTAATGAAGAAGTAATATGCTTTGATAGTGAAATTATGCATGGAAATGTTGATGAGCAGTCGCTATGCACTAGTGAAGAAGTAATATGCCTTGATAGTGAAATTGTGCACGGAAATGTTGATGAAGATGTGCCAAGCAGTAGTATTCCACCCCCCTTTGCCCTACCATTGTCTCAATCAACTTGTGAAGATGAAAGTGATGCAAATGAGGTAGTTTATACTAATGTGCCTATATCTACTTATGAGTTGCCCCATGAGTTAATCGTGGCAAACCTAAAATCCAATATTCTCCTAATATACATACAAAATCCAAATATCCCATTAGTAATCATGTGTCAGCTCATCGCCTTTCTAAGTCACATGAGTCATATATATGTCAATTATCTACCGTATGTGTACTAACTAAGTTGCAGGATGCCTTATCTGACCCTAAATAGGTGGAAGCCATGGATGTTGAGATGAAGTCTTTGAACAAGAATTCTATATGGGATTTGGTGCCTTTGCCAAGTGGAAAGAAGATGGTTGGTTGTCGATGGGTGTTTACTTTGAAGCATAAAGCAGATGGTTCAATTGATCACTACAAAGCTCGATTAGTAGTGAAGGGTTATACACAAACATATGGAGTGGACTACCAAAAGACCTTTGCTCCAGTTGCTAGGCTTAATACGGTTCATGTCCTTATATCTCTTGCTGCTAACTTGGACTGGCCCTTGTTGAAATTTGATGTTAAAAATGCTTTTTTGTATGGTGATCTCAAAGAAGAAGTGTACATGGATTTACCCCCTGGTACTTCTATTGCTTCTCATAATGGTGTTGTGTGCAAGTTACGAAAAGCTTTATATGGCTTGAAGCAATCTCCTGGAGCATGGTTTGGGAGGTTTATTGCGTCCATGAGAAAGTTTGGTTAAATGCAAAGTCACTCGGATCATACCATATATGTTGATGATATGATAGTGACAGGTGATGATCATGAAGAGATTATTTCTTTACAACAATATCTTGTTTATGAGTTTGAAATGAAAGAGTTGGGAGAGTTGAAGTATTTTCTTAGGATTGAAGTTACTCGATCCAAGCACGGTATATGTCTTTCACAATGAAAGTATGTTTTGGACCTGTTAGCTGAAATCAGTATGGCAGACTATAAACCTATTGACACCCCTATGAAACAAAATCATAAATTGGCATTATATCCTGATCAGGTTCCTAGTAATAAGGAGCGTTATCAACGACTTGTGGGAAGATTAATTTACTTGTCTCATACGTATCCAGATATAGCCTATGCTGTAAGTGTTATGAGTCAGTTTATGCATCTGCCTAGTGAGATTCATATGGATGTTGTCGTCTGTATTCTCAGGTATCTTAAATTGGCTCTTGGTAGAGGTTTACTGTTTTCCAAGAATGGTAATTTGAATATTGAAGGATACATAGATGCAGATTGGGCTAGTTCAATTGCGGATCAATGCTCTACTTCTGGTTACTTTACTTTTGTTGGTGGTAATCTCGTCACCTGGAAAAGTAAGAAACAGAAGGTTGTTGCTCGATCTAGTGCGGAGGCTGAATTTCGTGGAATGACGCATGAGGTATGTGAGTTACTTTGGTTGCGAAAATTATTGAATGAGATTGGATTCAAGTCCAAGAAGGCCATGGTTTTACATTGTGACAATAAATCAGCAATTGAAATTGCTCATAATCCTGTGCAACTGATAGGAGCATATTCATGCGACTTAAATGGCTTGTTCTCGTGCATTTACGTTATGTTTCTTTAGTTATTTTAGTCCTTTATGCTTCTTTTGTGTGTTTTTAGGTTCTAAGGGCAAAGTATGCAAAATGATGCCTTTTGGAGCAAATTAGAGTTTGGAATGGATTGCATATGCTTAAAGCCAAGTAGATGGACGAAATTGAAGACCAAAGGAGGCTAGGAATAAATAAAGGGATGAAGAAATGAAAATGAAGAACAAAGAGTTCACATTCATCACCAACACAACCATGCATCGACACATTCTTTATCCATCTTTGCCGTGCAAATCAGCCACATTTTAATCATAAACAACCTAGCTGTCATTCCACTTCATTGCACATGCATTCAATCTTTAATCCACATGCATTCATCATCATTCACCCTAGCTTTAATTCACATGAAAACACATTCATTTCTAGCACCAAACACTATCATGGCCGTGCATCCCATTCCATCTCCCACTCTTTAATCCATTGCAGCCACATGCACTCCCTTTAATTAATTCAACCTAGCTGTCAAAGCACATGCACATTCACCCTTCATTCCAGCCATTCCACATGCATTTCCAACCCACATACACCCTTTAATCATTCAACCATGCAGCCACACATTCACCCACATGCACATTCACTCCCATTTCAGATTGCATTCCCATTCACACACCAACAACACCACTCATTAGCCGTGCATTTCATTTCCAACCTAGCAGCATTTCCACATGCATTCCCCTTACAATTTCAGCCATCCCACTTCATCATTGCACATGCATTCACCCTTTAATCCATTGCAGCCACATGCACTCTCATTTTCTCCCAAAACATTGCACATGCATTCATAATCATTCACACCTTGCAGCCACTCCACATGCATTTCCAGCTTTCCACCAACCTCCTAGCTGTCATATTCCCTCTTTTTCACCTATTAATAAGCATCCATTGCAGCCACAATTCCCATTCACTCTTCCATTTCAGAAAATCATCCATACACACCAACTTGTGCCGTGAGTTCCCTACTAATCCAAACACCACCAGAAATTCAGCCATTCACCACTCACTATCCTACGACCCCACTCCATTCTACATCATCCATAATCCCAAAACTCACCTTAGACCTTGTGCTACAACAAAGAGGAAGAGAAGCGGGCCTAAACGTTCATACAATTCAAGTTTGAGTTGTTGGAATGGTTAGGTGTTTCTTTTCCTTTGAATTCAATGTTTAATTTCAATTCTCTTTGTTTTGTACGTATGAGGAACTAAACCCCCCTTTTGGCTAGGGGGGATTCGAAATATATGTTTATGCTTGCATTTTGATTTGATTACTTCTAATTACGTTTCATAAGTTGTGGATTCAATTTGTTTAACCGTTTGATTGATAACTTATTTATGTATGTTTATTGAGAGTGCACGCTTAATTTTCATGCATGAATATGACGCTAGAATATAAGTGAGTTTCACCTAATAGTTACGAACTTATATTCACAAGTAGTGGAGGTTGCTTATAAACAATCGCGTTAAACGAATTCTTGGCATAAGTTTCATGCTTATTCCATAGTTATGAATGCTTAGTCGATGTTTATGATTTCCGTTGAACTTAATGATCTTTGTTGAATGTCTCTATCATGCGTATTCCATAGTTAGGGACTTTGATTAGGAATAATTTGGTTGTAATGTGTATTCCATTCAATCCAATGAATCTAGGGAAATCTGAAAGTTAATTTAAGCGGATCTAATTAACTTGGAGCATTGAGAATTCATGGTTTATTGAAATGCAATTGGAAATCATTTTATTATGCAAGTGTAACATGTGTGGAGATGAACCCCTTGGCTAGCATCCATTCATTCCATTTCATCAATTTCATATTTACATTCTGTTTTAATTGCAATCTGTCCATTTAATTTGGTTTCGTCAAAACCTTAAACCCCCTTTACTTTAGTGTCCAACTTAGTTAGAAAGTGTTTTAGTTTGTGTTCATAAGTGTTTTGATTCAATTTGTTACACAAATTCGTCCAAATTCACCAAAGTGCTCAAAACTGCCCAGAAAGTGTTTTTAAGGCAATTTTGAGTGTTTTGGGTGATGTTTGAGTCTTTTGGTTTGTTTTAGTGTTTTAAGCGTTTAGTTTCGCATTCTTTGAGTCTAGTTTAGTGTTTTAAACTTTATTTTACGTTTTTGAGTCAGTTTCCAAGTGATTTGCAATCCCTCCTAATCCCCGGTTAAGAACGATCCCTACTTATACTTATACTACAATTGACAAAAAGAGGGTTTAATTTGTGTGCGTATAGTTCTCGCATCAGCAACATGACCATACAAAACATGTGGAGGCTAATCAGCATTATATTAAGGAAAAGTTGGATGCTGGAGTTATTGATTCTCCTTTTGTATCGTTTGAAGAACAGTTAGTCAACATCCTCACTAAGACTGTCTCTGTTAGTGCTTTCTCCAACTCGCTCGACAAGTTGGGCATGCAAGATATCTTTGCTCCAACTTGAGGGGGAGTGTAGCAATTTGTCTTGATTATAGCAATTGTATTTAATTAGCACTATATTAGGGATTTTATTTGTTTCCTTGTATAGTTGATTTATTTGTATAGGATTCCATGTAAACCTATATATACTCCATTCAGAGAGGAATAAAGATATATTATTTGCCCATATACAATTTGACTATCTTAGTATTAATTTACTTATTATTTTGGTGAGATTTTGATACTTCGAATTATATTTCTAATGTAGAATATTCAACTTCCTTTTGAGCAAAAATTATTCAAACAGATGAATTTTGGAGTGATTCCAATTGAAGGCTATTCGTGTGTCTCTCAACTTGTTCATATCAAAGTTTCATAATTTTCTACCAAACGGTTTAAATATAGCGATTAAATAAAGGAGCAACGTGCAGTGATGTCAAGTGACATTTTGGGCATATATGGGCTTTTTGGCATCCAAGATGATGTCTTTGGGGTTTGAGGCCTTCTGCAATTATGTTCGAGACATCTTAAACTTTAATTATAGCCATTTTGGTCCTATTTTGTAGCCCTAAAGATCTAGAAACGTGGGATTCTTGCTCATTAATTCTTTTGAGTATCTTTGCCCCTATAATTTGATACCTATTCAGCGGATTTGTATTTCACCAATATAGTTGAGGCTATCGAACCTGTTATAGAGGAGTGATCTGCATAACCTTGTATTTAGGTTTTAAAACCCATGCTGAGAGTGTTATTTCCTCAGCCAAGGCCATCTGATTCAGAAGTTAGGAGCGTATTCCATCACATCACCACAATTGGAGGTATTCGCCCGGCCGAGCTTGGTAGCAAATTGGCACGCTCACATCAACAATCAACCACCTAAGGACGTAGTTAGCTCATTAAGTTACTCTGCATGCATGCTGGCTGTGTAATTTTTAGGGTCAACATTTTTGCAAACCCATTGAGACCACATTTATACAAACCAGTGAATCCCATATGATATTTCAAAATTCCAATCCATCTTTATTGGACGAAAATCCTTTTTCCAAATTTTAATTGTGAAAGCACATCACCCTACAATAACAATAATGAAGATAGAACCTGATTTAGCATTAATGTGTGGTTAGATGAGAAAACTTTCTTTTCGTTTTCTTTATTACAAATCAATTCCATTTGGAGTGTGGTTGGATCAAAAGGCTAGGGGAGCAAATATTCCATTGCGGCTTCAATCAAGCTTCAGCATAAGAAAATTGTCATTTTGGCCGAAGACGTTAGGCCACCTATTCCTTCAGTTGAGTCAGGAAAGTGGGTCGGCCTAGAAGAAAGCCAAATATAAAGATTGACTCAGGAGGTGATTTGCCGAGTCTTAGCAAAGAAACTAGGCCACCTATTGCTTCGTCTAAGATAAAAAATTTGGTTGGCCTAGAAGGAAAAGTTCAAATTCTTGAGCCAAATATTAAAATTGGCTCAGAAGATGATTTTTCAGAGGTATGTTCTAATAACACACAAAGCCGAAACACGACCTCAGACGTAAAGACCGTGTCAATCAATATGATTATTGGAAATAAATCTGATATGGAGTGAACCCGTTTGGCTAGGTTGTTCAAGTTAAAAGCCAAAATTGGCAAAGTGACCTGCATTACTTTGCAACAGACAATCAAGAATCTTTGAAAAAAAAACCATCTCAGCCCCAAATCGTGAAAAAGCTACTTTTTATTTCATTGATGTGATAAATAATAGCACTCAAATTAAACATTCTTTTTGACAATTGTAGTATAGATATAAGTAGGGATCGTTCTAGGCCGGAGATTAGGAGGGATTGCTAATCTAATAGAAATTGACTCAAATATATAAAAATATGCTTCAAAACACTTAAACAAACTCAAACGACTCTTAACTAAACTTGTATGACTCAAAACAAACTTAAAAGACTCAAAACAATAAAAAAACTCAATTTAGACTCTAAGACTTAACTTAGACGAAAATACAATTGGTTTTGACTCAAAAACACACTTTTGGACAGATTTGGAACAAGTAAGTAAAGGGGATTTGGTTTTGGACGAATTTAAGAGAAAAACAAGTAATTAAAAGACTTAAAAGAGATTTGGACGAATTTGGGAAAACCAATGGATGATTAGATACCTAAGGGATACTTCTCCACACATGATACGTTCAAACATAAATTGATTTCCAGTTGCTTTTTCGATAAACCATGAACCTTAACACCCCAGATTAACCGTGACATCACTAATTAACCCTTAGATTTTCCTTAAGTTATTGGATTGGATGTCATCATACGACAACCCAAAGCATTCTTCAAAAGTTCCCTACATGACATCATAATAGAGATACAATCAAAGATCATTATGTTCAATGAAAATCGTAAGTATTGACAAAAAACTTGTAACTATGACATCATGATACTCATGCTAGGAATTTACTTAACATGATTGTGAAAACAACCTTAACTACTTGTGAATATAAGTTTGTGACGATTATGTGAAACTCCCTTAATTCTAGCACCAAATTCAAGCATGCAAATTAAGTAGGCCTCCCTAATCAACATACAAGAATAAGTTATCCATCAAACGGTTAAGTAAATTGCTTTCACAATTTATGAAATCACAACTGGACTTAATCAATTCATATCATAAATATAATCATGGTTTCAAAGCATCCCCTAGCTAAAACGAGTTTAGCCTTTCATGTTCACAACAAAACAATAGAATTAAACATTGAAAACAAAAGATAGATTACACCTAAAAATGTTCCAACACTCCAACTTGAATGCACAAACGTCCAAGGCTTCTTCTTTCTTCTCTTCTTCCTTGCAAAATCACAGCACAAGAGTCTAGGGTGATTTGTGGATGATTTTCTGGGTTGTGAATGGATTTAGGATGGTAGGGTGGTTGGGCAAAGGTTGGGGATGGTGTGTGGATGTTTGGGTGAAGGTATGAAATTGTATGAATGGTGGAAGGATTGTGGAAAGCTGCGGCAAAGGGCTTGTTTTTGTGAATGATGGCAGGTTGTGTATGAGAGTGATTAGCGTTCAATGAAAGGTGGGGCCTTGGTATTTATTTGGGAGCAAGAATCCCTAGAGTTTATTACATAGTTTAGGAAAGGATTTAGACCCCAAATCCATCAGGAAAAGGAGTCATAAAGTCAGAAATTAAAAGGGAAAAGAATGGAACTTGCGGCAAAGGATAGGAAAAAGGGAATGTGTTTTTAATTCTGAATTTAGGCAAGGATTTTGGAATAGAAAAGTTATGTGAGGTGTGGCTGAGATTGAGGTGAAAAGGGAATATGTTTTAATGACTTAAAGTAGGAAACAAGGACCTCCCTTGCACGGCAAGGAAGGGAAAGTCAATGGGGTGCACGGCAAGGCTTGTTATGTTGCAAGGAGAGTTTGGTTTATGTCCTAAAATGTATAGAAGTCTTTAATGTTGCTGAAACATGGAGTCTTTAAGGATTAGGAAAGGTTAAACCAAAATATGAAACTTTGGCTTAACTTTCCTACTTCAAGTAGGAAACCTTCTTTGACTAGGATTCCTCTTTTGATTAGGAATCCTCTTGTGATTAGGAATTCTAACACCTTTAGGTCTTCAATTTCGTCCATTCCTTTTGCTCCAAGCATATGCTATCCATTCCAAGTCCAAAATGCTCCAAAATGCACCTTTATGCTTCCTTAGCCATATGAACCTAAAAACACACGAAAATAGCTTAAACTACTAAAATAACTACGAACTAACAACATAAATGCACAAAAACAAGCTAACAAAGTCGCCTAAATATGCTCCTATCAAATTCCCCCACACTTAGCTTTTGCTAGTCCTCGAGCAAAAGAAAACAAAAAAACCACAAACAAAACAAAACACATTCTAAACCTTCCAACATGTACCTCTGGGATTTCCAACGAACATGACACATTAAACAACATCATTCCCACGGTTTTTTGCTTTCTTTACACTTTAGCAAACACTTAACCATAGTTACCACTTACTAGTTCACATTTAATCAATTAAAACAACGTTTTGAATGTAGTAACATGCCTTAGAGAATTCCCTCAATTCTTCACTAGAATGCTCTCAATTTTCACACAGAATTTCTAACTACACACCCTACACTAGGTATATGTGAGAAGATTGATTTAAATATGAGGACTAACACTCACATATGTTATATCAAAGAAAGCATTTTCTGGATTTACGACAATGACATGTATATGATCTCATGAATGGAATGCTACTACTTAGAATGAGAACCAATGATTCCATACGCTCATACCAAATTCAAACTCCACATATTGAACACATAACATCAAGATAGAAGTTGAGGGTTGTAACGTGGCTAAGGGTATTGGTTAACAAAGAAAGGTAAAGGATAAACAAAGGTTCTTAAAGCCATAGGAAACAAAGTAATGAAATTGACACTTAAACTCACTTTTGATGGCAGAAATTAACTTTTAAACACAAGGGAAGATTCATGCAACAATTAGGGTCAAATTCAAACTTTTGGACCCTTACTTCAACAACCAACACTTGTGAGATCATTCTCACTTATTTTTCAACTCTTTTTGTTTCTTTTCACCACTTTTCTATTTTCTTTTTCTTTTTCCACGAATTTATTTTTCTTTATTTTTCCTTTGCCATGCCCTATTACCTTCCCCCACACTTGTTTTCTGCAATATATTGATCAAAAGGAGTTCATTCTAAGTCATTCTTCACTATCCTTTAAGAACAAGGGTATGGAAAATCCTAATCTAGGCTAGGTGAGGATGGTGTGGTTAACAAAGAAAATAGGCTTGAAAAGGCTCAAAATGGGTAATCCTACAACACAAATGCAAAAGGGTTAGGCTTTTTGGCTTTGGCTTAACTAAACAACTTCATCTTATTGTATGTTATGCAATCAATATCATGCTTTGAATGAAATGGGCATGAGTTCTAGTATTTGGAACTATAATGAAAAGCATTCCAAGTAGCAACCAAGCAAAGAATGATGAGATCATGCAACGACTTTAGAAAACAAGAA